CAGTAAACTATATGTGTGTGTGTGTGCGCACGCACACACATGTACACACACACACACGCAGATATCTCCAACACAGCACAATGAAATAATAACATTAGATACTATCATAAAAAGACATCAAATAAACTATTATTAAACTATCATTAAATTAAACTATGCATTGATAAAAAAGGATTGTCCAAATTTCAAAAATGCCTGAGGCTTTGGGAGTGTTTTTAGCCCCGCAAAAAGGGGCTCTTAAATTATTCCAAATGAGAAAAGTTTTCATTGTCCTTTAAATATTTGTTAAGGTGCTGCACTCTCTGGCTGTTTTAAGGAAAAAATAAAATAAAATAAAATAAAATAGAACACCAGAGAGGTTAATTTTTGTGTGTGTGTAACGCAACCCTGAGATTGAAATAAATACTCTAGTATTTCCACCTCAAAAGGAGGAGAAGGGGAAGGGGAAGAAGGAGAAGGAAGAAAGGGAGGAAGAAGGAGAAGGAAAGATGGAGAAAGAGAAAGAAGAAGGAAGGAGAAGGAAAGAAGGAGAAGGAGAAGGATCAAGCCAGGGAGGACAGTTTAGTATCACGTCTGCTTGTGGTGGCAGTGTCCCAAAGCTTGGGCAGCGTGGCTGATGACATTTTTGTATTTCCGGAGTATCTGGCACCCTTGTCGTTTTTTCTCAAAGTTGTTGGTGCTGGAACTGTTGCCGTAGGTCACGTCCACGTGGTCGACCTTGTACTCGGAGCAGAGCAGGCAGGTGAGATTAGCCAGAAGGCCACCAGTATTGTTGGTGGTGTTTCTGAGTCGCCGTAGCAAGTCTTCCTTGTCACTGTGAAGGATTTCCTGATCTTTTGTGATATTGTCCAAGGAGGCGTTGAAAAAGACAAAGATCTTGTAGAGGTTGATCACGATTTCCTTCTTCTCGCTGGCCCGGCTGACAAACGGAGGAAACGCGTGGTCAGGTTCACAAAAGACGTCCAGATTCTTCTCTGTGAAAGGGGGCCCTTGGCTTTGGAGCTGCTCCGGAAAAATGGAAGAACCAAATTAAGGGGTGCAAGAAAAGTCCGTTTCAAAAGACCCCTCCATTTGGGAACGCGACCTTTACACCCCTGTTTTGAGTGTGAAACATGATTTGAGCATCCCAAGTCCATGTGCCACCCTCACCCCCAGTATCTGTCACAAGAAGTGATGTTCTGATAGCTGACATGCACGGCACTGAAGATCTGACCTGCTTCTACTTGGTGAAAGGTAATCAAAGCCTGTGAGTTTTCGACATGCTCACCAGATGGTGCAAAAGTTTCAGATGAGATTACAAAATCATGAGAGATTTGGGGTCTCCCAAGATTTGGGGGGGGGCCAGCACCAGAATTCTTATCATCCCTGCCCTGATTTTCAAAATCCTGTTGCATGCTTTCAGCTGGTCCTTGCTCCCATTTTATTTCCCACCTGACCAGCATTACTGTCCAGGCTGTGCTAAACCATGAACCTGTTACTTAAGATAGAAACAGTTAACAGAGATAACTTACATAGGTCTCAAATAACCCTGAAGCGGACATGTTCAGACGTGACACCAGGCACCGAACCTGATCAAAGACATGGTGCTTGCAAGGACGAACATCATGACACATGGAGTTGTTTCTGTCCTGGTGCAAAGGTCTCCCAGATGAGAATCTGCAGTGTGTGATCAATAGCATGGAGAGAACTCCTAGTTGGAAGACAAAGCAGAGGAGGTGAATTTTTCCACTAGTAAGAAAACTATGAAAAGCTGGTGAACCTCAGAAGTTTTATCACACTTTGGTTCTCGTTTTCCCATCTTCCTGTCCTTCTGTTCTGATGTTGCCTCCATTTACAATTTTTTAAAAAATCACCTTTGCATTTTTACTAAAGTCACATGTTTTATGGAACACATGAATTTTTGTACGCATTTTTCTGATGTAAAATATTACTGCAGACCTCTTTTTAGTTGGCAAAACTTCCTACATACGTAAGGCAAAATGGAATTAGCTCTGGACGATTGCTTCCTGCTTTGGATATACTATAGCTTTAGGGAGGGTCAGTTCACACAAAACATGCTCAAATATGTGAAAATATGGATTACACCAGTGTTTCTCAACCTTGGCAACTTTAAGAGGTGTGGACTTCAATTCCCAGAATTCCCCA